ATCAGTAACAGAAGTGCTTTAAAAGCACGCATAACAAAAATTACGAAAAACCTCCTGGTGTGCCCAAGAAAAATTAAAGATTGTTATGTATTATCGTTATGAAAAAAAATAAAAATGAAACTTCTATTCGTGAAACAAGTAAAAAATTTAATATCCAGCCCAAGAAATTACGGGAATGGATAAATAAAAAAAATGACCTAATTAAAACATCACCAAAGACTTTTAAATTACATAAAGGAAAATTACCCAAGTATCCACAATTAGAAGAAGCCTTATCTGATTGGATTAGTAAATAACGGCAATTACAAAATCCTGTTACTAGAACATTGGTGATTACGAAGGCATTTTCACTTGCTCGGGGTACTGATTTCCAAAATCTTTTCGAATACATGTAGATGGCTTGATGGTTTTTTGGATCGATATATGTAATTTGTCAAAACCGACGTCATGCAACTATTGCACAACATTTACCAGAGAATTTAGAAGAAAAAAAAAAGTTTTCTTACTTTTATTTTAAATCAACAGATTCAATAATTACCCTTTATCAATTGGGAATATGGACGAGACTCCTCTTGCTTTTGATTTACTAAATCCGACAACAACCGATAAACGTGGCGCCCACACAATTAGCCTTCGAACTACAGGTAATGAAAGAAAAAATTTCACTGTGGTTCTTGGATGCATGGCCGATGGGACAAAATTACCTCCAGTTTATATTCTTAAACTAAAAAAAAGTGCCTCGAGAAAGCTTTCCTAATAATGTATTTATCCGTGTAAATGAAAAAGGTTGCTTTGGTGGGTTGAAAATATTTGGACTAAAAGACTGCCTTTAAGTAATCCACATTCCCTTTTAGTTTTTGATTCCTTTCGTGCATATTTAGTTGATTCAGTTAAACATAAACTTATTGAAAATAATACAAATCTTGCTGTAATTCCTGGCGGGCTAACATCTAAACTGCAACCATTAGATGTTGCTATCGCTATTAACAAAAGTTTTAAGATGAAGGTATATATAAATTTTAATTATTATATTTGTTTGTTTGTCGTTATATACATATTTAAAAATTAATTTTAAAAGATCCGTGCACTATATATAATCAAATAGATGTCAGAAGAAATTCACGAGCTTATACCGTATTAAAAAAAACCTTCATATTCATTACTCGCTAAATGGGTAGAAATTGCGTGGGTGTCTCTTGATCCAAATTTAATTAAACGTTCATTTAAATGTTTTGGGATATCTGACGAAATTGTTATTTCTAACGCTAAGATATAGTTGATAGCGATGGTTTCGTTTCTCGTCATTGTTAATTTAAGTGATATTAATCTAATCTATAAGTAAAAAATATCTGTGCATAAACCGGAAAGTACTTTACAAGGGGAGGGTACTATACAGAGCGTTTTACGGTACTTCTGTTACCAAATTCGTATTATGCATTATAACGGACGATATAGCGAATTCAACCTCTTCGCAAAGTTACCCTTTGGCTCAGGACTTAACCGCCTCGCAAAGTTATACAAATCCCGTTTAATATAAACATTTAATAACGATAAAGTTTATTTCCTTATTTTCCAATAAACAAAAAATTAAAAATTCAATTTTATTTGTAATAATATAACATTATAAATATATATTTTTATTTTCAGGAATACATATATAATATTTCTATGCTATTTTCACAGGAGTTACAGCAGCAAGAACCCGATCTTTAGCAATTTACGCTTTACAACACGTAGGAATGAAACCACTCATACCCGGGCAAGAGCATTGATAGAGTTGTCCATTGTGTTTGATGGTGTATTTACCGTTGTCAAAGAATGGTTCGGGTTCAGGAATTGGATGGGGTACTGCGTCAGATAAAGCGAAAAGACAGGTTGCTAGAAGCAAAGCGACCACGAAAAGTTGTTTGGATGTAGTCATTTTATGTTTATATTCGAGTTGCTTGTTGATTTTCGGATGTATGTTTGTACTTTGAAAGTGATTTGGGAGAGAGTATGAGTGATTCTTTTTATAAGAAAAGTTTCTGTCTGAAACACTTGTTGATTAAACACACTGCAAATGACAATGAAAACACTATACTAAATACCAGAGTAATGCTATTATTAATAATTCATAGCGATAGCAAATGACAATGAAAACACTATACTAAATACCAGCGTAATGCTATTATTAATAATTCATAGCGATAGCAAATGACAATGAAAACACTACAACTGACAATAAAAAAATGCTTATAGGGCAGCGAGTGTCGATGAGTTTACCTATTTATTCTTGATCGTGTGAATAAAAAAACGTATAAAACATTTCTAAAATACTCTGGTACATGTACATGTATTGTGTTTTCATTGTCATCATTTGTTGTTTTCATTATCATTTGCTATGAATTATTTATTAAAGCATTTGTTTTGAATTTTTGCGTTGCACATTGATCTTACGATTTGATTTTTAAGGGGTCGGCATTAATGATACATGAACTTGACGATGACGAAACATTTCGTCACGTCAATTTGACGAAACCTTTCGTCACGACCATTTTGAAAATGTCTGTGACGAATGACGAAACCTGTGACGAATGGCGAAACTGACGAAACCTATGACGAAACCTTCTGACCAATAAAATACTAGTTGATGCCTGACATTTTGTAAATGAATGAATGCGCAAAATGCATACATATCAATAATACATGTATTGGTACATGTATTGATTTTCACGAAACCTTTCGCCACCTTGGAAATGTAAGTGGCGAATGACAAATCGTCTGACGAATGACAATTTTGGCAAACTAAACCATAGGTCGAGTTAAGCTTTGTCAATTTATCGGATTATTTTTTACCAGAGGTATATATTTAAAATTATACACTTTTCATAATGCTAGCCAAAATTCAGCATAATTTTGATCGTTTATGGCCTTCAGCCAATCAAACACATGTACTAGATTTCTAATGACGTATATTCTTTTAAAATTCGGAATACGTATCGTATTTGTACATGTGATCCTAGCTATTATTTTGATTGGTCAGAAGGTTTCGTCACAGGTTTCATCAATCTACATGTGATTGAGCTATTAATTTGATTGGTCAGAATGTTTCGTCACTAGTTTCGTCACTCGTCACAGGTTTCGTCAATCGTCAAGGGTTTCGTCTGACGAATGAAGTGACGAAATGTTTCGTCATCATGAAAATAGTTTCGTCAGGTATCATTA